GCTGATGGATCTCGGAGACGAGGATTGTGGCGGATTGAGTGGCCTCCGGGTGCAGAAGATGTTTGCGTAAGTCAGAAAAGGGAAACAAGTGGGCCGAAGTTGCACAGTGAAAGCACGATCTACACGATCTCATACGAAGCACAATGAGCGGCATCACCTTAACGACTTTTTACGTAAATATCTGACTACTGCATGAGCGGCACTCAATTTCAGACGATGTGAAAACAGGCCTTTACTGTGCTGACGCAGCCTAACAAGGATACAAAAATGCCTACACATATCGCGTACCTACCTATGTACGGAAATAAGCAAATAATAAACCCATCAAGCGCGCCCCGTTTCCCCGTGTATCGAAAATGCCCGGCACGCGAGGCGTCCCAACCGGCACCGAATCGGGGTCAATCCGGTTAAATCGATCGTTGCCCGAGGACCGGAACAGACACGCCACCAGGTGCAGGGAGCAGCGACACCCACACGTGCGACGGAGACCCCGCGCATCGGCAGCGGCGGCTCTTGGTCGTTTGAAGCGTCGACGGACACGGAACAAAGGGAGCGTGCCTTATCGGAGCGCTATTCGCAACACCATTTCGGCCCCATGCAAACGGAAGCGGGGGGGGGGGGGGAGACGGATGGACCAGAAACAACAGCACTGCATAAACATGTTTGCGTCGCAAATGGTGTGAAAAAAAAACTTGTGAAGAGCGTAGAAAGTTTGCGCTGTAAAATCCAAATTCTTGTTTTTTTTCTGCTTTCGAGCCTCCACAAGTCATTCAAATTGAACAGCCCATGCATTATTGTACACTAATCAGCAATCCTTGACTGCTGATCAGTGATGGGTGATAAGAATTGCTTGTTAAAAGTCACCTCCTCAATGTCCTACCATCAGAAATGATACCCAATATTCAACACCTTTGCACTAGAGTTGATCACTATCCAGCACCAGCGTGTTTCTACGGCCGTTTGGAGTCATAAAACATTCATAAAACGGCACCACCAGCAGTTCAGCAGTGCACGATCAATAAGAGCCGCGCCGTCTGGTGAACTAGCAGCCAGCGGTCCGACACGGTGGTATGTGGCCTATGCACTATGCAGTCAGAAACAGCCACGCCACGGTCAATGCAGGGCAGCAACACAGGCGCAGCTGTCGCGTGGTTGATAAATGACTCGGATGTGGATAGGCCCGGTCATTTATGAGTGCAGGTAATCAACGTTCCGTACTGAATCTATAACTATACCGTGCATCGATCAGCCCAACAGGCTCACTTCGGTAACAGCAGTAAGGTGCAAAATATAACGACACTCCGGTTTTAATTGCTGGCTCTCAGGTAAACTACGCCGATCTTGGCATTGCGAAAGGATGTCTTCATAAGAATAAGGCTACATAAAATTTAGATGGACGGAACATCCGTGGGCCGGGAAGATCGGTAGAACCTTTGGTACAGAGGTCCTACGGAGAGACCGACCCGTCCGTGAAGTCATGGATGGACGACCCACCGGAACTGGAGGCCACAGACGAATTCAGGGACTGGCCATCCGTAAAGGAGGCCGTATGATAAGCAGACGGGCCACAGAGCCAGTAGGGGATGTCACGGGCGGTCGGCCGACGGACGGAAATTAGCGTTATGCCTCATCGGTTCATTCGTATTCCCTAATGAGAATACGACCGCCGCACACTGGGCCGGGGGTCCGGAAAAGTGCTAGAAATTATTTGTGATTGAGTTGTTGATGTCACTGACAAGCAAACATGCTAAAAACGAAGTGGGGCTGCTTAACCCTCGCCGGACCTATTGTCGGACCCCCACCCCCTCGGCCGGCCGAGGGGGGGAGGGTTGGTACGACCCCTTTTTGCCGTTTCGCCCCTAATGGAGCTAGAGCCTCGCGGAAAAAACAAGCGTGTGCGCCGTTTCAAGGCGGAACGATTGATACCCGATTTTAAGGTCCCAGGTCAACCGGTAACCTCTGAGGTGAAGTCAAAAAGCCCAAGGTAGGGTTTGGTTTTTGGCAAATAATTTCGCAAAAAATGGCCGCAGAGCAGCGATTTTGGCACCATCGTGTTCGCCTGGCTCAGGCGCGTCGAATGGTATACTTTTTGTTCGGATGAGGTCAACTTAAGGTATTGACCTCGAGTCAAGGTCAGTTCAGAGCCCATCAGGCCACGAACTTAATCGAAGGAGGTCGTATCGCATATCATTCGATTCGGTAGGTCTTCCCGAGTCCATTGGTGGCTTTCCCGAGTCGCTGGCTCAATTTGATCATGAGTTATTGACGAGAAACTCCTATGACCGGTGTGACGTCATAAATGACGTCACAGAAGGTCAAAAATGCAAAAGTAAAGCAACGGATCTTGCAAGGAGTGCACGAAATCACGATTCCGTGTGCTTGAGATAGTTTGAAATCATTCCATGCGCAAAAACAACAGTTTCCTTATTTCCCCATTTACTTTTAATGGTGAGGTCACGTGACTTCGAAGAGTAGCAGGCATTAGCAAAAATTGCGAGTAGGGCATGACAGAAAGATGATTGGTGGTTTGTATGGCATGGCCATTTTTAACGGCTCGAAATAACATTTCTCAAAAAGTCTAACTAAAGAGCAAGTTGTTGTTGATTATCACTGACTTGTGTTTAGGGGTCAATAATGACTGAATTTTTTAGTTTGGCCCAGAAATGTTGACAGCATTGTGTGCGTTGATCAATTCTGAGCTCAGGGACATATATTTCATTCAGATTATAAGCGTTTGTTTTTCACAACTTCCAGCGTTTTAAAGAGCGCCGGGCCTTCAGTAGAGTGGCGAGGTGACAATTGCCCCTACATCATGTGGTTTACTGGCGCATATCTCGAAAAGTAGCAGGGAAAAGCAGCAAAGCACCTATATGGAACAAAAGATGAGTAATCAGAGGCTAGTATGAAATGTTCATTTTTAGCTGCTCGAAATAACGTTTTTATAAAAGTCTAATTAAAAAATTGGATATGATTTTAAATTACGTCTTGCAGCTGCTTGCAAACAGCTAGCTTATCTTGCAGAAAAGCGATGCAATATGTCAGAATGATGTTGGCACAGTGAACAACAGTGCCCTGAACTAGTCTGACAGGAAATTTCGTTCAAAACGACGATTGGTCAACTAATAAATTACCACTAAAGTTCATCATTAAAATCGGTAAATGTGGTGGCCTATAGAGAGTCTAAATTGTCTTGTGTTTGGTGACAACTGACGACCTCAATTTTGACCTTAGGGCAAAACTAGCATCGGAATCGTATTCTTCGATCAATTTGGGATTAAATGATACCTATTTTGTTCATAATGCGGACAGTCAGTTTGGGGGAATTTCTAGCGCTTTTTCAGGCTGCCGGCCTACAGTGCGCCGGCATCCTTACAAGCATTGCTGGGGAATGCGGAGTCGGAGTCGGTGTCGGCCGGAGACGACAGTTCTGACTGGAGTCAGAGTCGGTGTTAATTTTTGAAGCCGGAGCCGGAATCGGAGTTAATTTTTGGAAGCCGGAATCGAAGTCGGAGTCGGAGTCGGAGTCACCGAAAATCCATAGACTCCGCAGCCCTTTTTACAAGCACCTCGATCACTGCAGCACCTGAGCATGTCGCTAGACCACACGTATCCTCCTGGCCAGCTGTTCCCGCCAGTGCACCGCACTTTAAACGCCGCCGACTGCAGGAAGCGCTAATCGCGCGCCGCCGCGGCCACAAGTGCCCCAAATGAGCGGCATTTCCTGGACTAGCTGCAGTGGACGTCAATGACCGGGCCGGGCCGCCGCTCACCGCTCTGAGGGCGGCCGGGAACGGTGTGCGGTCTGTGTGCTGGGGGAGCCGCCCACAACTGTGCCGGCTTTCAGCAACTCATTGAAACCAGCACTGACCGGCTGACCGCCCAGCGCTCTGCAACGTTCGGCAGTGGCTGAGACCATGTCCTGGCCATCAAAGACCAGCGCTGACTTTACCGAACGGCCGCTTGGAACAGCGTGAGAGTTCCGGCTAGCACTTGGTCCACTGGATATGGTGCTTGATCCAAATTGCATTCGCGCCCAGTGGAATAACACTGCGTCCGCACAGCTCTCCGGATGGTCGGTTACAGGAAAGCTTCGAAGACATTTAGCGGATGGTCCACCACCCCCAACAGCCCTTCATGCGTGCCGTCGACAAGCACTGACGACGTTCCCCGTTGGCTGTTCCCGAGTTGACAGTGCTGGCCACTGGGGCACCAGCCGTGCAGGATCACTGCCGCAATGAGCGCGGGACGACAGTGCGGCGCCGGTCCCTTCACATGATCGCCGGACCATGGCGGCGAATGACGGCGAGTCAACGGGACGCGAGTCGCTCGTGACGACAGATCTGGGTACGGTGGCGCCGGCCCGTCGGCCGCACCTTCGGCGGGACGGGCAGACACAAACATACAGACTAGGAGGGGGGGGGGGGGGCGGCCGCGGGAAGGCGGGGGAGGGGCAGTGGCGCAGGATAGGGGAGGGTAAGGTGAGCCCGAGAGAAGTAGAGTAGAGGTCAGCTATTTTTAGTGGAAGAGTGACCATAATATTGTTCAATATTTATTCCTGTGTGAAACCAATAATGGAGCATTTGGTAGGTGTGTCTCCAGTTATAACTGGTCTGGATTTGCTTGAGGTGCCGGTAGGGGAGGGGAGACGGGACTGGGGGGAGGGGTGCGGAGAGAGAGATGTCAATCACAGCCGTCACTCAGTCAATCACAGGCGCCGCCGGTGGCGATTATTTCATCAGCTGAGCCGTTCGTCGAGCCGAGAGCCCCGGCACAGCAGAGCAGGGCGCTGGGAGGTGTGACGTTCGAGGCGAGCCACAAACATGCTAGTGATACGAGAACTGTTGAAACACGATCAATATTTGTGTCATAAAATACATAATTTGATAGGAGCATTGGCAGTTTTGCATCCCAGAGTCTGAGCGATTGGCTCCCGGCTGGCACCAGTTTAGAGCCGGAACGGAACCCAACGCCCCAACAGATTATTTATGACGGGTACTTACGGACGATGACCGATTTCGCGTCGAGGCGATTCGCCTTTTCTTGCACTTGTTTGACGCGAGTCTGCAGTGCCCCAGCTCTCCTGTAGATGGTCTCGAAGTCCTTGTGTAAATCGTGAAACACGTCCTCGGCGTGCAGCACGAGACTGGCGAGCTGACGAAGCACACCAGACAGCGTGTTGTTGGCGATCGCCTCACGCTCATCGTCGACGGCATCTTTCAGCGGTGCGCTGCTCAAATTAATCGGAGACACGCATCTTGCATACAGCGGCATTGCGTCGGCAAAAGCTGAAACGGTCTGGTCACGCTCGCGAGTGCACCATTCGCTCTAAATCACAATCAATCATCGCGAATTTCGATAAATTTACATCTTCTCACTGAAACTTAGTCTCGCACCTCCTTGCATTCACATTCACTCAGCCACCACACAGCCGACACCCGGACCGGCCCCGCGCGTGCCACCCCCTCGGCCCTCACCTCGTGTATGAAGCGCGCCTGTTTACGATTCACACGGGACCGGCTAAAATAGTGATGAAAAGATACAACAGTTCTTAGCAGAGGGTCTAAAACATTTTTTACTATTTCTTTACCTAATTTTCATATAAAAAGCTTTTTGTTAGTATAAACAACAGTTATGAATCTTTTATTTGTGTTCACCTACAAAAATAATGGAGTAGTCCAGCACTATAAGCAGGCGAGCTATAGGTGGCGCTACCCACGCGCCACCAACGAGCAGGAATAAATAGAATAGATGACGCCCTAGTACAGAGACACAGCAGCAGTGCAGCGTTTTCGGTAATGTTGAGCGAAAATAGATGGTGCCATGGGGCCTTTGTTGTCTAGGTAACTCAAGCTGTTCGCAGTTTGCTATGAGATTAAAACTTATTTAAATATCTTACCTATTTTGCGTTAAAGCATGCCACCACCATACACCATACAGTAAAACTCGTTGAAAGGACACCCGACCGCAAGGGCGGCGCCACCGTGGGGGCAGTGGGGGCAGACTGCCCCCACTGGCAGGAAGCCGTGGGGGCAAGACTATGTTTTTGCCCCCACAAAATTTGGCTGATATATGGGAACAGAAGACCGGTGCAACATTCATTATCGGCGGTTATAATAGTACGCCTGTTTTTGACGGTCCTCGCATCAAGTGCGTCAGCAGAACGTTCGTTCTCGGACCGTCTGTCGCATATCTCCTACTCCCACTCATTCTCCTACTCATTTTCATTCACCAAAAGGCTGCCCTCGAGCTTGATCTCGAGGAGGTTGAGAAGCAGTTTATCAAAAGTCGGCCAGAGAAGAGATCACCCTCTTTTGGGAACCCTTAGACTGAGACTGAGCTCAGAGAGGTATGACAAAATGTGATAGGTATGTATATCCCGGGTTATCTGGAATTGTATGTGGGTCGCCCTAATGGAGCTTATTCTTGTACCTTTATCAATCGTATGTGAGAGAATCGCACATACATATATACGTACTACGGGGAAAAGGAGAAATAGGTACTGACTACTGACTATAGTTTTGAAGAACACACCATTTTACATCTCAACGAACAACATAACGTTTTCACAGGTTTGTGTCTCGCAATCTAGCTTTATAGTTTTATTTCGGCCGGGCCCGGGGGTAATCCTAACCACCGTAGCCCCGGGGGTAGCCCTTCCCCTCCCCCCTGTTTAACTCCGTTAACCCGCGCCCTGGTGGGGTCTGTTTATAACGCGACCTGGTGGGGGGGCTATTTTTTGCCCCCCCTCGTATCTCCGAAACTACTGGACGGATCCGCAAAATTCAAACGGCGTTCGAAAGGCCTGTCAAATTTGTCGAAGGAAACCAAATTTCATTGACCTCAGGGTCACCGATGACGTCACAGGTCAGGTCAAAGATGAAATGTTTCACCGTTCACGGGTCTTCTAGGGAATGCGCTATAACACCGAGGAAAACGCATTTTGTCGAGAATCAGCGGTAGGGCGTCAGTTGCCTAGTAGATATGTTGCTATTATAGGTCACTGGCAATGCCAGGTCAGGTCACAGGTCAGGTCACCAAGGGTCACAGGTCAGGTCACATGAGCCCAACTTTACTAAGGTTGTGTGATACATGTTTTATGGCCAATTTTTCATTTCCAACTCAATGGTGTTGGTTATAAGACTATCAGGTACGGCTTAGGTCACTTTCTGGTGAAGTTCAGGTCAAGGTCAGACCAAAAAAGGTCAAATTTTAAAGTTGATAGTTTTGCATAAAATGGGTATCGATTCGATGCAGCTCGTCACGGGGAGTCTAATGATGGTCTTTGTTTTGCGCTACGGGGTCTAGAATTGCTAAAAATTGAGTTTGAAAATTTGACGTCATCAATTTTGAGCAGTTTTTTCGCTATAACTTCGCCAAAAAAAAAGAGGTATCAATCTCAAATTTGGTATGTGGATTGAAGGCGGTAAGGACTATCACATATATTCCGGTTTTTGCGAAATTCAAAAAACTTTTTGGATTTTTCGATTATTATATTCAAAAAATCTATTTTTTGATTTTTGGGATCAAAATCCAAAAATTTCAAAAATCCGAGATAGCAGTTTTGTAGCCCTGTCCAATCTACAGCTTTTATGTCTGTATCATTTTTCTGTATTCGCAAAGCTATAGGCCTGACAGCTCTTCCCGCGAAACCCTTTTTTGGGTCGAAAACGGCAGAACATGACGTCACTCTGACGTCATTTCCGGCCAACCTATCATAGCCTTTGGAAAAATTTTTGGTCACAATGTGTAAAATTGATGTCCGGGAGGGTACTGAAAGTTTGGTGACGATCGGCGGAGCGGTTCTGGAGACATATCGAAAAGTCTGGAGGGGGGGCAAAAAATAGCCCCCCCCCCCCCCACCAGGTCGCTACGGTAACAAAAATGGTACCAAACAAAAAGTATCTATGAGAAGATTCGAAAGCACCTAAACTTTTTGACCTCAGGTCAGTTTTCAAGGTCAGAATTTAAGGTCAAAGGCAAAAACCGGCATTTTTGTAGTGGTCTCAAAGTACGTGTTCCAGAGGACGGCATGGTGCATAAAATCGGCTAAAAGGGATGTTGAACAAAAGAAGAGACTCCGTGGATTCAAGGCAAAAACCGGCATTTTTGTAGTGGTCTCAAAGTACGTATTCCAGAGGACGGCATGGTGCATAAAATCGGCTAAAAGGGATGTTGAACAAAAGAAGAGAATCCGTGGATTCCGATGATGTGCATAATATTCAAATTCAAGGTCACGATCATGCTCAAAATTGACCACAAACTTTGCACTTTTTCTTATATCTTGTATACTAAATTCCGAGATGTTTTGATATGTTGTCAAGCTTAACGGACCCCTATTTGTGCTTCAGCTTACGATACAAGGCTGCTACAAGGTCAAAGTCACAAGAGAGTATGCTTGCTAGAGGCTATTTCACTATTCAAGTCAGGCATAATAATTAAGACATGTTTTGCCATACTGAGGCTCTAAATGAATGCTTACAGCAAAATGGATGCCAGAGGCCCAGAATCGTGATCAGTGGCTACGAAATCATCACAAATGACCTTCCATGTGTAAAAAATCAACCAAATGTCATTCGAGGTTACATGAGGTCCACATAAAACTTGACCTTTTCCAAACAATATATATGTCATTCGACGCGTCTCGACAAGACTAATGCGAATGTACCACTGCCGTAGCTCCAGGACCATTTTTGTTGAAGTTATTTGCGAAAAAAAGAAACTAAAGCCCCAGCTCGGGGTCGTTGCCCTGACCTCTGACCTCAGGTCGCCAAAGTTATTTAAGTATTTTTTTTTTCTAGGTCAAATGCTACGCAACCGTGCTCGTAATTTGTCTTTATCTCTAAAACTCAATTTTTGGCAGCTGGTTGAAGTTCACGTCTGTGACGCTGAAGTTTGCCGTGCAGGAGTCTAGAAAAATCGGCCCTGAGACGTTATCAAGGAGGCTAGCTCCAATTTTTTTGCTTCAAAAGATGTCAAATTAATGGGGGATAAGATACAGCAAGTTTCGTCTTTCTATCCCTAAGCGTTCGTGAGGTATCGCAAATATTCACCAGGGGAGGCGAAAAACGCCCCCCTCCCCTTCCGGGCCTGCGAGGGTTAATGGTTAAACTCAATACGCCTATGCATGAAACCTGAAACCAAAATAATTTTGAATGACAACATCTAGGGACAAGGTGCTCATGGATTTTGCAGATCGGCGTTATCAGACTACAGTCGGGTCAGTCTCAAGCTTGCCCCCACTGGCGAAAATTCGCGGCGCCGCCACTGCCCGACCGGCAAGGTTCTGAAGCATTGAGATGCCCAGGAGCCTTCGAGTTTTGGTTGATTCGACTCTATTCATAATTTCTAATTTTCTAACTTACGATCCCGTCATCCATGCAAAAATGCGAAAATTGTTACGACTTGCAAGTCAGACCTCTCTCCTTGTCAAGGAGGCAGAGCCACCTGTCGTCAGATTTGGGAAATAATGAACAGCTGGCCGAATGTTTTGGTTCTCATAGCAATTTCATGCGTTCATTACGAACAGTTTGACGTCATCAGTCTCAATCAAAAAGTCGTCAAGACTGGCTTGAAAGTCAGTTTTAGTTCTAAGGTTAGTAGATCAAAAAGTGGCACAATTTCTTTACATAAAGTATGAGCTTCTAAAAAGCCTGATAAAGCACTTGAGCCTACAATCTTCTTTCAATATGAGTCTAGAGCCGCTGGATGAACGTCAAATGAACGCATTGGCCTTAGATCGTCATTTGTAGGGCGCGTTTACCTCTTTAGGGCATTTGCGGGCATTTGCTACCTTGTTTTGTGTAATGTTGTGTAATGTGTTCCACAGAGAAGAGAGGGTGATATTGAAGAGAGAGGGTGTTACAGTATACGCGCCCTAACCTGCCCTAACCCACGAAGAAGAGGACAAAGAAGAAGGGTGTTGTTACAGTCAAGATTCTTACCATTCTTACAGATGGTTACAGTAAGGAGGAGGGAAAGGATCTAGTCTAGGATGCAAGGCCCTATATACCTAGCTTGGAATTAGGATGTTTCCAGCTGTCGTTTGCTATGTCGTGTGAGGTCAAGGTCAAGGTGCTGAGTTAAGAGCGTAGTGGTGAATGCTGTTGGGTTTGGTAGGGCTTATTTTTAATTGGATGATCAATGATAACTTGAACTGTATCTGGTATCACACATTTCAATTTTAGAGAAGTTGAAGTATGTCATTCAAATTAAACGAACAAACGCTAGGTTACGATGGGCTCTCCGACCAATAGCATTCAACTGTCCTGCTTTGATTGTCCTCACCCATATCACGTTCTAAGGTTATGGTACGAGAAGATGAACAGGTGGAGACTAAGGTGAAATAATATGCTGTAATAGGTTTTGGAAATGCTGGCTTACATCTTATAGCATTGTAAGTAGGTACTTGTACCCAATATTGCACACATTTTCTAATGCTGAATTCGGTACTTCTTAATACCTTAGAAGTTAGAAATAAATCCTTTATTATACCACCATCCATCAGGTGTCCATTTTACACTGACTCATGACTCATGGTGCTTTCAGTTTATGCATGTTAAGTTAACGAGGTGGTCTAATTATTTCAGATGCTACATGGTCTGCAGTCTGCAGATTACTTTTTCTGCTGAGGATTATTTTCACCCTGTAGGAAATAATTTCCTAAGCTTCAAGCTGCCAGGCAATTAAAGGTTAGTTGGTGGATGAACAACTTATTTGCCTGTTTTGCCTTTGCTCAGACTTCAGACAATGTGGTCAAAGTATGCAGAATGCTGATCGTTCCCTGACTGTAGAGCCCTTAGCAACAAAACCAGTGACAACCAGATGAAAACTGAAACAGTAGGCAATTGAAACAATGGGCTACTGATCCAGTGGCAACTAAACTAGATGTCTGGTTAAGTTGCCACTGGTTTAGTTGTCTAACTAAGCTGAACCAGTGGACAACTGAACCAGAGGATGACTGTAGTATGAACTAGACCCAGTGGACTACTAAACTTGAACCAGTAACAGCAGAGCCATTGGACAAGTGAACCAGAGGACACCTGAACCAATGGACAATGAACCAGAGGATGACTGAACCAGATGACAACTGAAGAGAGGATAAATGAACCATTGAAAAACTTAACCAGTGCTGACTGAACCAGTGGGCAGTGGACAACTGAACCTGTAGACAAGTAAATCAATGGACTACTGAACCAGTGGACACCTGAACCAGTGGACACCTGAACCAGTGGACACATGGACCAGTGGACACCTGAACCAGTGGACACCTGAACCAGTGGACACCTGAACCAGTGGACATCTGAACTAGAAGACAACTGAACCAAATGAAACTGAACCAGTGGACACACAATTCACTAATGGACACCTGAAAAAGTGAATGGCTCGACCAGTGACAACTGAACCAGCTGCTATAAGTATAAGGAAGCTGATCTCATTGATAACTTGCACCCCCGCCCCCCCCCCCGCTCCCACTGAAGCCTGTTCAAGACTTAAAGTTTTTTTCAAGTGGTTTTTGAAGGTTGTCTGTCCCTTGTGGTTTTCCGATGATATCTTAAAAACGGCTGCGTTCTTTTGCCATACATGTTTTCTTTGCATGCTGTGAAAATTTGCTTTTCATACGTATTGTTGCTCTTATCAATCTCTAAAAGCTTCAACTCGATCGCTCAGTCGGTGTAGCTATGACGATCATTGGAGCTTTTCCTTAAGTAAGGTTAATTGACGTGACCTGGTGACCCGTGACCTGACCTTAAACGACCCAGGTCAAAAATTTTCACAACATGTGCAGAAAGGATGTATTATAAGGTTTCCAAGCGCCGCCGTTTTTTTTTTTACGAAAAACCTGACAGAGTAAAGACGCCTCCACCGACCTTTTACTCACCGAAGTGAAGCGCCTCCAACCGCCTCCACAGCACGGCGCGGTTAATGCTGAATCGGAAAAATGCTTTCGTGGTCCCAGCTTATGTGTACTCCTGAGGTCATCTTAGGTCATGAAAGGTCATCATTAGTTTTTACGCAGCAATTTTTTGATAGACATACTAGAGGAATGAAAACACATTGGATGCGTTCAGCTTAACTGTACGGATCAACTCATGTGCGTGCGACGCTACCTTTTTCGGTCAGTTCGTGACCTTGACCTTAGGTCAACTTTCCATTTGACGTTTTAAGGTCAAATGATACCTCATTTGGCGTGTCTCGACGAGAGGAACACGATGCCGGTGAGGATATTTTCGTACATGTTTTATGGCAAAAGTTAGGTAGTTATTTCAAAGATCAACGAAACGTCCATTATAGGACCGCTTGTTTTGCTCTCTGGCGGCTAAAGCGTTGACTTTTGGTCAAATCCGAGGACACTTCAGCGAAGAAGCTGTAAAAACCATCCAGTGTAGGTATTTTGTGGAATTCTAGCTTTATTACCTCATGAGCTACAGCCTGCAGGTCACTCAGCAGGAATATCACATTCAGGAAAATTCGTCTATTGGTAAAATTCTCTGGTGACCTAACCCTTAAACTTGACCGAAAAAATGTCATACTTTCTTCATTATTTTTATGCTCTTTCGAATGGAGCTTATGACGTGTCGCTACTTGGCTCAGGAGAAAAGGGTCGTAAAGTTGTGTTTTGTGCCGATCGGGTAAACGCTATGGCGCATTTTAGGTGAAATCTCCTGACATATAAGCGAAATAACTTAAAAAGAGATATTGAATTTTTTCGCGATGTTCTAGCTGTACTACTTCACGCGCCATGAACTGATTAATCCAAGAATGGCAATATCTAGAAGAAAAAAACTCGATGGGGAATCAACCAGTATTTTTTAGGGGAGGGACAACCGGCCACCGAGCCATTTAGGCCCTGGGGGGGGGGGGGCATTGCCCCATACCCCCCCCCCCCCCCGTGTATCGGCCAGCGGATACTTCGGGATTGTTTAAGAATTCGCGAGCTCAGCTACCCTGCGGTTGCCGGTGTGCAGGCTCTCGGCATTCCGTGGTGGTCTGGCGGCTGGAGAGTGTGTGTTCCCATGGGAGAGCACTGTGCTCCGGGGCCGCTCTGCCCTGTACCGGTCGGTGGCGGCGCGGCGGCGCCGATCGTTCCGTGTCTGCCGACGTCAGACGGTCACTGACGCCCCGACCCGGCGCCTCGACAGGCGGTGGTAGCTGGAGCTGCTCAGAGGAGGGTCTGCCCGGCCCGGCGCCACCATGAGGGGAGCCTGGCCGCGCGCGCCTGCCGCCCAGGCGGCGCCGGCAGATACGGCCGGACTGCCGCCGACCGCCGTCACAGGTGAGCCCAGTGGCTGTTCACTGTCCAGTGTCTAATGGCTGTCCAGTGTCCAATGGCTGTCCGCTGTCCAGTGTCCGATGTGAATGGTCGCGGCTCACAGAGGAGGATACGGAATTATAGATATTTGAGGCGGCTGTGGCTCCAGTTGGCTATTCCGGTCCCGATTCAGAGGAAAGTGACCCTAAACCGGGTTCGACTCGAAGGATAAAAATGTAATTATATTTCAGGTAAAATGTGTTATGACATATTGTTACATTGACAAACTTTTACCAATCGAGTCACACTTTTCATTGGCGCAAAGTGCCTGCATGAACTTCAAAGGCATGTTTTTGTTTCACCGTTCTGGCGCGCCGCGCTGCACTGCTGCAGTGCTGGCTCTATTTACTGACAGCTGCTAACGCTGCCCGGTCGTTGGGTTGGCGTGGCCTTGGACGGGCCTGTGACCCCGCTCAGCTGGGCGCCGCGCAGTAGCGTCCCCCGCTGCCCCCCCCCCCCTCCCCCCTCGAGGGGGCGTGGTGCGAAGTGCGCCACATCACGCCCCCACCGCGTGACGTCGCGCTCCATTGGCGCATCACCCGTGACGTCAGCAGCAGGGGGCCAGACGGTCTTACGCAAGGCGGGAGCGTTTTTGGCTCAGCTTTAGCGCGATTCAGGCTGCGAGTTTATGGCCGATTTCGTCGGGCTTGCCCAGTCGGACGTCAAGGGTTCAGCCATCCATTGATCCCACCCGATATGGACAGACTGCAACGTTGGCCAGCTGGAAAAGCGGCCAGCTTTTGTTCCATTCCCTTAGCAACAAAGGGTGACGCAGTTCGTGCGAACGGGGTCCGTGAGCTTTTAGCTATGGGAGAGGTGTGGGCAGTGGGGTATAACGAACATTTAGCGCTGTGATAAACTCCAAGCGTTCTATAACTAACCGTGACAATGCCTGTCACGTTCCACGGGACCCAAAGGGAATATCTTCCATATTAGACGATGTTCGAAATTACTTCTTATGTCATTGTTCCCTTCATTCCCAATCATTATCTACGCATACATCGTTTCATTTCATTTCATTTCAGATCCCCTGGGACAAGGTAAGCCTAATCGTCTCGGTCTTATAAGTCGCATAACCCCATCTTGTGGACCCTAATCCAACACTGGAGGAAAGCTTATGCTTAAAAAAAGCCACCGTAACCTCGGCGTTTCCAGCAAGTTTTATCAGTTTTCGTAAACGTTCTAATTTCATTGTTACATTCAATTTGTCCACCATTTGCTAAATTTATTTCTCCGTTCTGACAAGCAGAAATTCATCCTTGAAGATTATCGCAATCCGTGACACCGCAATACGGTCAATACCGAAGTCAAATTTCATCACCTTTCGGTTTCGTCACGCCACTGCGCAGGCTGACGTCCGTCGCTCGGTGTTGGGTGCCGTTGGTGGGCCGTCGGTGGGCCGTCGCTGGCTCCGTCGGCCCCGCTGGCACCCACCTGCGCCGGCCCGGTCACGGCCGGGGCTGCGTGCGCCGGCGGCGGCGTGCGGCGCGTGTGCGTGCCCCGACCTTGGGCCGTATTTTTATTCATGGTGCGCGGCCGAGCGGCGGCGCCCGGGCGTCAGTGGATCAGTCGGGCGCCGCGCCGCTGCCGCACCAGGACCGGGCTGCAGCGCGCCGCTCGCCGCCATGGCAGAGGCCTCACAGCCAGGTGAGCAGGGCCGGACGGCCGGGGCGCCGGTACCGGGTTCACTGAGGACTGGTCCTATGTGCGCAGCACCAGCATACTGCAGACACATGGCACGGCGGGTGGGCGCGTCACCAAGCCGGCTCGGTTCCGGGTACCGTAAAGTGGGGCTATTTGAGACAGTGGGGCTATTTGAGACAGTATTTAAAATCGCTATAAAATGAAGATCGTGTTATTTTTGTGCGATATTTTTGCTCAGGGAGGTGTGGAATCGAGCAGTAAATCGCCTGAGCAAAAATTTAAACATAAATTTTAAGTGGTTTTTATTTTATAGCAATTTTAAATACTGTCTTAAATAGCCCCACTGTCTCAAATAGCCCCACCTTACGGTAGCTCGTTAGTCGTCGGCTGGAGTTCTCCGATTTCCCTCCTATCTAACGGGTCTTGGATGACGTTAGGCGGGTTGGGATGGTCACGGTGTTTATTATATGCCTGTGCGCTGCGCCGCAGTGATGGCAGAGCACTGAGAGGTTCTCTCCATGAGTCGCCCGCACGCCATGGTAACAGCTGGCTATGTTTTTATCACCCGGAGGCCTCAGGGGAGTAGCGCGGCGCTCCAGGGCGGCTTACGCTAGTGTCGTGAGCACTAAACAGTAAACACGGGCGCTCGGCCGGATTTCTCTCCAGCACTGCCCACGGCTCCGCTTTCCCGAGCGGTAATGGACTTAGAAGTGTGTGACTGTGAAGGTCTGTCATGGCTAGTGGTAGCTGTTCGGTTTGCTCCAACTGACACTTTGTGAGTCACAATGTGTCAATTTGTGACTGTTGAGAACTTGCGCGTGTAAAACCAGGGTTTCGCGAGTTGTCAGATTTTCATGCGCTGCTTCTAGGCTCATGGACGCATCTGACCTAGATTAGAGCGCTGACCATTGGTAAACGGCAACGTATCTTTTTTCTGTAACATTCGATTTTATTCTGGAAGAAAAAATTAACTCCAAAAATTAATAAATACGCACCAGCGCGCTCGTGACTCGTCCGACTTTGAAGATTTGTCCTAGTCTGCGGCAAGTTTGAGGTTTTGTTTACAGTGCATAGCTCGAAAAATCTTAATAATACTTCCTTTGTTCTCGTTGCAGTCGTCTGCAAACCGGATGCTTCAGCTTTAATTACCTAAATACATAATGTAACTGTTTTTCAACACTGCTTACGAGCAGCTATGAATAACCAAGCCGGTTTTGATTTAAGCTCGCCGTGCACCAAGTCCTCATATTTTGTTGAATAGTTCTGGTTATGTTGGTGTCGTTGCCCCCCCCCCCCCCCGTTGTCCTTGAGGCTGCGGCAGCGGCGGCAGCAGCGCTGACACGCACCCTGTCAGCCGGTCGGGGCGGTTGCGCCGGCGCCGCCGCTGCTCCTTGTTGTGATACGGACTGCGGGCCTGCCGTCCGTTCCGTTATTGGCGACTGCTCGCTACAGCGGGCGAACGGGCCCGTCGGCAGGAGGATATGGGGCCTGTTCCAGCGCCTCCAGAAACCTCCAGAAAGCTCCAGAAAGCTCTAGAATTCTCCAGAGAGCGTTCCAGCGCCTCCAGAAAGCTCCAGAAAGCTCTCGCCAAAGCTCCAGAAACCTCCAGTAGCCTCCAGAGAGTTGAGAGGTCCAAATTTCTCTGGAGGCTCTGGTCTACAATTATGGCGCACATGTGACAATCACGAATGTAAACAAAGGACATTTGACTGATAATTTTACAACTTGAATGTAAAGAAAATTACATTGCTATAATTTTATTTATCTTTTTAACTAAAATTGAAAACAAATTTTGCGTTTCAAGAGAGAACAATCGTCATTCTTTTGGTATCTATGACACCAATCTCCAGAAATCTCCAGATTGCGTTCCAGCGCCTCCAGTAAAACCTCTGGTAGAGCCTCCAGTCAAGAATTTATTCTGGAGGCGCTGGAACAGGCCCATGGTTTCCGTGAAATGGCCTGGTTATTGGTGTGGGCTGTCGTGTGCGGAGAAGCTTATGTAGCGGATCAGGGGTGATCGTGTTGATTTTTATAGCGCATTAGTTACAGTTGGTATGGGGTAAAATTGCAGTGTCCTAAAATTTGTCGATTTGGGTGGGAAACAACATCCAAATGCTGACAATTTTCCACTCTCATTTCAAGTATTCGAGAGTGATTTTCCACTCCCAACCTAAAAAAACGAGGAGTATCTGCGTGCATGGTCGTAAACATCATATTGATACATGTACTAGAAGCTACATTCTACCACATGTGTGTGGTGATGCATGCTATCAATCCGTTTTCCCTTCATTCTTACCACTCCCACCTGTTTTTAACTTTACCTGACCTGCAATTTTCCACTCTCATCTCCCTGGTAACTGAATAATTTACCCCTCTGATACCCAAACCAAAATATAATTCTGGGATACTGTAAAATTGAGATCAATCTCCGTTTCCCGAGGCAGTCCTTGCCATGTTATGTTTTATCAAGCAGAAATGTAATGAGGTGCTAACGTCAGTTGTTCGGGAAGTTCATCCCAATCTTCCATAGTCGACAACGCTTCGCTGTTGTTTTCCCCCTGCTGTGGCGGACCGTTTTGCCCGGGTCACCCTGAAATAGAGCCGCCGGTCCTCGGCGCTGCGTTTCCTTTGTTTCGACACCGGGCGGCCGGCCGTCGCTGGCGTTCCGGCGTTGGCGAATGCTCGCCGATCAGCTGTTCGCCAGCTGAGCCGCAGTGGGGAGGGGCGGCGCCCCGGGTCGCGGCACCGTCTCCAGTATTGATCGCTGGGGAAGCGGGCGGGTGGGAGGGGTCGGTGGGAATAGGACCTTCACATATCTGGGTCAGGTCGGGAAGGGACGGTGGGGACGATAATGGTCGCCACTTGGCTGAGAGCCCGGGGCGCAAGTCGCAACCACACTCGCCTGTGTATGTGCACAGAAACGCGCCCGGAGGCGGCGAATATCTCTGTGGGCCCTAAGCTAAATATATAACGTTTCCATCAAGTGCCGATGGTAATATATCGGGTGATGTGTGCTCTGGGTTCTGACAATACCAGGCTTGTGGGAATGTTATCTTTTTTTGCGTAGCCATGTAGGACGAGCAGCCTTTTTACAGTCATTTTTTGTGATTTACGATAGTGGCTGAGTTTTAGGAGGCTTCTGATTCTTATTACCTTTGCTTTATCGTCTATACACCTAACTCGTGAATTGTATCAATGTCCATTGCATTGGCATAGCTCATGGGAATTTCACGGAAAGTTCAGGAAGTTGTTCAACGTAACAGTACCAGCCCAAAAGAGCTTGCTTTCAATGACCAGTGGCCACTGTATGTTGATTGTTG